AAATGCTACATTTGGAGCATAGCTCTGTATGGGGCTGAAACATGGACACTTAGGGCAGTAGATCAGAAACATCTGGAAAGTTTCGAAATGTGGTGTTGGAGAAGGATGGAGAAGATCAGTTGGACCGATTATGTGAGAAATGAAGAAGTGTTAATTAGAGTCAGTGAGCAGAGGAATATCCTACACGAAATAAGAAAACGGAAGGCTAATTGGATTGGTCATGTTTTACGCAGAAACTGCCTTCTAAAAGAAGTTATCGAAGGAAAGATAGAGGGGCGGATAGAAGTGACAAGAAGACGATGAAGAAGACGTAATAAGATGCTGGATGACCTTGGGGACAGAAGAGGATACTGTCATTTGAAGGAGAAAGGTCTAGATCGCATTAAGTGGAGGAATTATTTTGGAAGAGACTGTGGACCTGTCGTCTTGACAGATTACTGATGATGATGATGATGAAGTGCTTTTATGTTTTTCATTGAAATTTTACTTCTGATTGTTATTAAAACAATTATGTAATTTTTAAAAGGTTCAGTGAATAATATTAAAATATTTTATCACTCATATGACACACAAAGTAATTCTTTCTGATATTCAAATGACATGTGTTAATGATTAATCCAATATAGAGTACAAACTATTCTGGTGAAGTACTGTAAAAATATTTGATACTATCAGCTATAGAGGTTACGTAGTGTCAAGTGATATACAGTAGAACAGTCATGAGGAAGTGGTCATGGCCTATTTTATGCAGTCCCTGGAAACTAAACCCAGTTGTTCATCCCATACATAATTATTTCACCATCTGAGTTAACCTCACTTCATTCATTCATTCATTCATTATTAGAGTGGGTGGGTTTCCCCATGCACTGCGACCAGTTGTTGATCTATTGTAGGTCCCCCTTTGAATTCTACCAGTCGCCATACCCTTCCAGTACTGGTGCTCACTATCAGCCCCGTTCAGCCCCTCTACTGGCAGTGGTACCCGATACTTCCCCATCTACCGGAGGCATTGGAAACTACTTGGGCAGGAAACATTTTACCTAATTTTGCTCAACGGTCTCCTAGAGACATGAGGATCTTTTATGTGCCGTAAATCTATGACATGGGACCCATGGCTTAAAGTTCCTCCCAGAGGACTTGTTCCCTGAATTTTTCTGCCCTTAAAAATTCCACGACCTCCGCCGTGTTTGAACCTGGGGGAACGTTACCCCTAGACTACGGAGGCCGCTTAACCTCACTTAATACTGAATAAGGTAACATACAATATATCCTTAGTTTTTGAATTGCTGCTCCAGATTTGTGTACGTTTTTCCTAAATAAATCATGACCCTTTATCTGCAGAGTTAAAACAAATTCCCTTTCTCAAGTCTGTGTTAACAGGTACAATTAAGACATTATTCTGCTTATCTGTAATATTCAAAGTAATTATTTGTTAAAGACACAGGTGTTCTGACCTTGTAGAATTAACTCAACGAAGTATAGTATGATTGAAAATTTCTTCACACGTTCATTTAAAGACATAAATTTCCTTACATTGCTTATTATAAAATAAATTTATTTATCATAAAATGTACGTTTTGACATCAGTCTTAAAAACATTTTTGGTAGCGGCAACGTAATCATCAAGGTCGTAATGTGCAAAAAAACACTTGTCTGAAATATCTTGAATTCCGAATTAGCGAGGTTTCACTCTATATCAGCGATGACCAGCTGGCGGCCCGCGACTTGGTATACTCCGGCCCCCCGTCAAGTCTCAGGTTTATTTTAAAAAATCTTAACTTCACAGCTGTATTGGCATAGAATTCAGTTTTTAATAGGACGTTTCATTAGCTTACAGCATTTTGCAATTGAGTGTATACGTTCTTACCGAGTTGGACAGTTCAAACTGTTTTCTAATAACTTTGTTCATGTCATGGAAATTCCAAGTCCCCCAACCCTACTTCTGTAGGGAGATGACACTGAAGGGAAGACCGTAGTGGTGAAGCATTAATGACACCTTCAAAATAGTAACCATTCCCAGCTTGCTCGCAGGGATGAGATGTTTACCGTTTCTCTCGGCATCCTGGCCTTTGTTAAGTGCTAGTTTTAGCAGAAATGTCTCCCAGTTAGTGCGATTTTAGAAAGTGAAGTGTGATTACGGAGTGTGAGTGTAGAACTGTTTTTCAATTAAAATTGTGTTTGAAGGAATTGTGAGTGATACAGCATGTCAAACAGTAAATTGAGAAAAGTTGATAG